TCTGGTCGATAGTAAGGGTCTTCGACCCGATCCTGAAAAAGTTGACGCAATTGTAAATCTTCCACGACCTACAAATGTTAATGAAGTACGTCGCTTCGTAGGCATCGCATCTTTGTATAGGCGATTCGTCCCAGATTTTTCTTCACTTAGCAACAATCTTGAATCTCACCAAGAAGAATGTCAAATGGAACTGGACGAAAGACTGTCAAAAATCTTTTACTGCACTCAAAGAATGTCTAGTCACAGCCCCTGTTTTATCGGCACTTGATTTCGAAAACCCGTTTTGCCTGCAGACTGATGCATTTGCTTATGGACTTGGAGCCGTTCTAACACAGGAATTTGGATCAGGACTAAAAAGCCATCAGGTTACCTATCCAGATCTCTTTCCAAACAGAAAATGAAACTCTCATTTACATTTTGATATATAAAATACTTTTTTTGTCAACCAGTACACGAACTGTAACGAAACTAACCAAAAATATGCAAACTAACCCGTCCACGTAATGTGCACTTGTCCTTGAATGTTATATTGAATTTAGGAAAACAACTACGCGCTTCGCGAGCTTTGCTTTTAACCAGTATTAAACGAACTGTAACGAAACTAACCAAAAATATGCAAACTAACCCGTCCACGTAATGCGTGGTACCTAGTCCTTGTACTTGTACATTAATATTGAATTTAAAAAACAAATATATGAAGGACTTTGATTGAAAAAAGACATAGTACATCAACTGGTGATCCGGTTATAAGATCAGCGTTTCCGTAAAGGCCTAATGTCAGTTACCGTTTATAACACGGTTACAGACGGTTAGTCGCTAAAAAATCCCTAAGATGTCGTGGAGCTTAGTGTTGGATGAACTACTAGGAATACTAAACAATCTGGGCTTGCACTGCGTTAGGTATGCCGATAACATAAAAACCTATCAAAAACCACCGTAGTGCATTACACTAGACAGAGAGAACTCTCTAGAATGAAGGAAACGGAATACACGGAATCACTATCACAATCACACCGATGATGGAAGTCGGATATCTTAGCATAACGCTGGAATACAAAGTCAGATGGAAAAAACACAATGAAGGAATTGTAATTAAGGCTAAAAGGGCTTTCATGATGTGCCGAAACCTTGCAGGCAAAACCTGTGGGTGCAAACCAGGGACCTTGAGATGGATGTACACCATGTTAGTAAGACCAATGCCTTACTATATGGATCGATAGTCTGGTTCAAGGAAGTTGAGAAGCAGAACATAGAAGCGGCTTTCAATAAACTACAGCGCCTGGGAGTGCACATGCATTACGGGCCGAAAACTTGTCCTACAGCAATCATCGAGACAGTTGTGAGTCTCGCACCTCTTCACATCGTGATAGAGAGAGTTGCTAGACAAGCAATAACTAGAATCACGAGAGAGGGAGCTGGCTTAAGGAGAGAACTGGGGCCTGTTTCATCAAAAAGAAAAATTGATTGAAATTGAAAATGAAGAGTTGATGAGCGACGAGTGGAGAGTGAAGAGTTGAGCAGTGAACAGTAAATGTCGTTTTTGTTTCCAAATAAATTTGCGTTTACTCCTTAACTCTTCAAAACTTTTATGGAATGAAATGTAACATTATGTCGCTCCTCATTCCTCAACTCTTCAACTCTTCATTTTCATGAAATAAGCCCGGCATCTCTAACTAACCAAGTTTGTTCCGCTTTTCGAGCTTACAGGGGATGATATGATCAAAACATATAACCATTGAAATGCTTCACAATGGAGATAAGAAAGCAGAGAAGGAGAAGAGTGAAAATGAAACACCCATTCATACAATGAGCAGAATGCCATAAAATATAAAAGTATACCGATGGGTCAAGAACTGAACAAGGGACAAGGGGTACTTGGAACTGGAATCGGGTTTTCTGGAGCATTGGGAAAACACCCAGACATATTTCAGGCGGAAATAAACGCTATGGCTAAGTTCGGCTTTGCAGTCCACGGAGCGGAACAGTATGAGCATGGGTATCGTGACGTCATACGCGGTCATAAGCCCAACGCAAAAGAAAACATAGAGAGCTGAAACGAACAGGATCTTATCGTTTCGAGCGCGCTCAGAGTTTACAGAGTGTGAAGCCGAACACAGCCTATAAGTAGATGAATGAGTTCAATCTTGACAGAAACTACAAAAGAGAGAGATTGTTATATTTCTCAGACAGTCAAGCCTAGGCAACAAGTAAGATGAAGACAGAGTCTCCATCTATTTTCTGATCGGCACACTAAAAATTGCTACTAACAACCGTATAAACCAGTATTAAATTAGAGCAAATCAATATACTGCAGCAATAATACTGGTTTATACGGTTGTTAGTAGCAATTTTTAGTGTGCCGATCAGAAAATAGATGGAGACTCTGTCTTCATCTTACTTGTATCAAACCCAGTTCCGGGAAGGAACCAAAAATGGGTTGTGTTTTCTCTCTGCGGGACCTAATCGTGCTGAAGAGCTGTGATACAGCGAAACGCGTCCACGGATGGTCCCGCAGAGATAAAACACTTCTCAATCGGTCCTTAATTGGGCCGTTACCTAATTAAAAGCCTAGGCAAGTTGAACAATTTGGGGAAAAATAACAAACTATCCCTCCACTAAATACCGGGACACGCAGGAATCGAATGCAATGAGAAAGCGGATCGTGTACCACAAATACACGCAACAGACTATACATACAATTCTATTTGACGTTGACAGATAAATACCAAATTACACTACAATGGTCAATTGATCCCACTATTGATCCAGATAAGACGATTTAAATTAATCAAATTCATATTTTACGTATTATTATAAATTATTGCCAAATTCTAAATTATTACAAATCATCGCCTCCATTATGGTATAAATATGGCCCACACACGCATTATCATCCCATAAGACATAATACATAATTATACCGATTATGATTGCAGAAATTCTTTCTACGTGGACAGACATAAATATTCAGACCCTATAATTTAAAGGCTGGAAAGCACCTACAATCTTTCATACGATTATCATTGAATGGATTTTTTTTTGGAATTAAATACAATGGAATAAATAATTTTGACTTTGACGTTCATAATCATCGATAGATGACGATCGACATTGAATATGATTCACTGTTAATATGATTTGACATCGATTTGCGCGCTCCCACCAGAAATCAGTGATAAACTCGTCGTATGTTACCATTGATTAGCATAGTTGTGGAAACAATGGGGCAATTAATAACGTTTTGCACTTGTAGGAATCGCCTACACGTGACTATTTACCATTCACCTTTACCAGAATCATCGACGCAACTAATAAATTTCTTAGAGGGTTTTATTTCATATACGTGTCGCTAGGAACAATTAAGTGGCTGAATGACCTTTTGTTTGTTTGGAGTGTTCGATTACTAAACGCCAATGCGGAAAAGTGATTGTTTTCGTTTTTTATGTCTGTTTCCACCGGCCAATTAAATTCAAAAATTCCTTGTAAGAAAGATTTTTATTCGCACGCAAGTCGAATAATGGCGGTCCAGACAAATTATAGAGCCTGTCATCACATGAATAAGTCGCCTCGTTCCGCCTGGTCGACTCTATTGATAAACTGTCGTTGTCAGGACCCCACACGGTGAAACTTGCTTTTCGCATGTTCCTGTTCACAATTGCCCACACTTGATTATTTATCTTATCTTTATTGTCTTATTCTATAATAATTACTTTGAGTTTGTTTTACCTTATCTTCCCCTCGTATAAAGCTTCTGTAGTCATAAAATATTAGGGGAAGGTAGCGTAAATTTTTATTAAAATTAAATTTTCACAAATCGTTTGGCGTGTCGGGCAATAAATTTTCGTCAAGAGATTCAATGGCGCATAAAGCAGTCAGTCTAATTGCAGGTTTTCCTGTTACCCGAACCACGTGAATCGGCTTTCACGTAATTTATGTAAAACGACCATGGAAATTATACGAGACGATTTAATTAATAGCGTTTAATTATTGAGATTACCCCGGGGAGACTATTTTTTTTTTATTCAACACCAAATACAACTTTATTTTGCAAATGCAGCGACAAGTTTAACTGATAATAAACGTAACAGAATATTTACGAGACAAATTTTCAACTGAGGTAGATTATTAGCATTTTAAAAGCTTAAACGATCACCCGCCTAGAGCGATATTTAAATATTTGTTTGGCGGCATGAGATCTGAAGAAACTTAAAATGTATCACCTGTTTGTGAACGGATCGTTTGAGTTCAATATTTGAACACCAGTCGAACAAGACATTTTATCGATATACCTACTTAAATTTACACATTTGAAAATCAAATAAAAAGGTTTTTAAGTGGAGTAAATGCATTCAAATGACATTTATGTACCTACTTGATTTTCGGATTGCAATAATTATAATTGATATACCTAGGTATGTATACCGATGTTATAGACACCACAAAGATCTTTCTTTGACAGGAAATACTTAAGACTTTGTTCCCTGGGTTTCTTGCCTTTCTATTACGAACTTGTCTTTCATAAACGCATCATACATCTGGGAAAAATATATCGAGCAACTTTTCGTTTTTACCCAATATCTCAAAAACTCAAACACTACTGGATATTTTTCTCACTGTCAAAATCATTGCAGACCAGACAGTAGCCAAAATACAAAAACCCTCTGAACTATCCATAGTTAGATATTTCAAATTCCCGTTATCTTATATTCAAATTCGACACGGTGTAGTGTAAAAACATCTAAACGAGAAACCGCTTCTTTTATGAATGAAATAATACCAAAACAACAAAAACCATTGGGTAATGGCTATTTTATAACACCATTAAGATGATTTTACAACCGACTTGATAGCCCGGGAAATATTTTATTGACAATTTTTGTGTTGATGCACGTGCATATGTGGAATTTCGTGTGTATTCAATAAAATATTTTCCTTGAGGCCGCGATAAGATTTCTCGGTAACCATTTAAGTACGACAGGTAAATGGGTTCTTTTACTTACCAATTTCTCTGAAATTAGCCAGTTGTTGCCAGCAAGTGATCAGGGAACAGGATCCGGACACGCCGTGACATTTGCAGGTTACTTTGGTTTTTCTTATTACTGCCTGGAATTTAAAATTGTAAGTAGGTACCAATTATACAGTAAGATAACAGTTTGAGTGAGTTTTTGAGTAATTATTATTTCATATACAGGGTGACTCAAATTAGACAAAAGTGCTGCCTCAAAATTAACCTAAACCTAAACCTAAAATTCCAATTGTCAAAAATCACTGTAATAGTGCAGACATATGAAAACTGAAAATGTATTGACACATGAGAATCCTAGCGACGTAATTAATCACTGGTGTTCCAACCGAATAAAGCAAAGCGAATGTGCTGTGCAACTTTTAACGTCAAATAATGTAATTTCATAGTTGAAATTAATTGTTTTTTCTGTCTGAAAACGAGACATTGACAAGCTGCGTTACTTTTTGTAAACACACTGTGTATGAGAAAGAAATTCCTTTAAGGCAATTCGAGTAACTTTTTTTCAAAATAAAACCGAGACATGTTTTTGTGTTTTATTCCGCCTGTACAGGTCGGTTATGTTCCTTTTCAGGATTTTCTAATAAAGTCATTTATTTATATACGGTTGAAATATTCTTGATATGATGAAGGCTGGTTCTGTGTATGATGTGTAATATAAATTATGGTATGTCAGAAGAAAATAGACACAAGAGTGGAAAAATGAAAATAACAAAGCTGCCAATCAATAATAATAACCGTATATAATCTAGACATGGATAATTAAAATTTTACGATGGTCTATTTTGCATCTAGATTGGTTCCAAGGTACCAAGAAGAACGCTCTATGATTTATTATAACGTGTTACTTACTCTCCTTCCAGCTTCGTTATTATGCAAATTCATCAGTGCCCGTCCCTGGTCTCTTGAACCTCGTTTGAATTTTCGCTCTTTTTCTCGAACATCGATGAAATTCTGAGTGAATCTGAAAAGAAAATTATCACTCTGAGAAACCGATAATTTCCGAATCAAATTCAAAAATAAATTTGCCTGGGTGAAGTGAGTGGAATGGCATCATTTAGTGCGTTATTTCGACATGGTATTATAACGTTCTGTATGAGATGTTATTTTGACGCCCGTATGAAACGTTTATTTCAAAAGATTTATATACGTATGATAATCATCGTCATAAATCACGTTCCACACCAAAAATAACGGAAAAAATACGGTAAATTCTCGTCCCCTTGTTGCTTGAATCGTCAATATTTAAAAACATGGCAAAAACTCACGTCTTAATAACGTGGTGCGTCCGGCGATTGAGTGACGTCATGATAGTAACATGATCACGTGGAAATATGACGTATTTCTGACATGTAGATGACGTCATTTGGGTAACGTCAATATCCACTTCGTACTCATGCTGAAAATAGGACGACTAAAGTCTACAAATTATTTTGACGTCGATCAGTAGAAATAAATAATGATATTCTGATTTGTTGTTTCTGCAACATAATTTAGATCGACACTCAAATAAACTATGAAGTCAGCATAATTTAAATTTTGACATTTACAAAAGTCTATAGTGATCAAAACAGGTTGTTCATCAATTCTAACAAGCAAAATACCCCCCATCTTTATCAAGCGCACAGAATCTCTCTACCGCGTTTACGGCTTTATTTATACGCCAATTAAAACGTTTTACAGATGATAGAAGCGATTATTAATTTTAAAATACGTCACCTGGTGGGCAGTAAAGCTCAACCGGAATTTAGTTGCGCTATAAAGTATTTTTGTGCCATTTCGGTCTGTCAGCGCGCACTTACATAAATAGACAACAATCGGTTTTAATGGTAAGAACCAGTCGCTGCTGTCTGCCTGAAGAACAAGAAATGCGTACCGAGAGATGTAACTTGCAAGATACAAAGCAAGAGTAAATAATAATTGCATTTCGCTAAATTCGCTTCCACCCCATATTATAATCTGCGTATTAGTCGCGCTGTCAAAATGACAGATAACTTTGGAGGGTCGCATTTAGGTTTATTAAGCCGTGCCAGTCCGTATCGAATCCCCTAGGATATTTTGTCGTTCTGTGACGAATGCTCGGATTTTGGCCGAGCTTAGAACTTTCGGGCTACTGGTTTTTGAATTTATAGACTTTTAGATGCTTATGGGCGTTTTTCAGAAGTCACCGGTGAAAACAAGGCTAACTGTCAAAAATTCCTGTTGTTAAATGTGTGGTTAAACAATTTCGAAACGCAATTTACCATCTTTCTTGGATGGCTATAGTTTTTTGTTTTTGTTAATGAACGCGGATACTACACGAAAGGGTCCCAACCATTGTCAAATAATGGCGTTTGCGTGTCCATTTAAACAAGGGCGATTTGATGTTTGACGTACTTACTGTCAACTTTTAAATATTCTAGATGGCACCGTGGGCATAACAAACTTGACGTCCATAAGAGACTGTGGGCCGGTTTCTCAATAGCGAGTCACCCCTGGGTTAGTTTTAACTCCAGGGTTAACATGTCAAATTGCAATGTTTACCCTGGAGTTAGCTTAACCCGGAGGTGTCCTGCTATTGAGAAACCGGCCTTGTATTTTCTGTGAATGTGTTTTTATCAGTTTGAGAACGTTTTTTTGTAGAAATTTTTATTTTTAGCGTTATTGCTGTGGTTTATGTAATTTATGTTTTTGACGTTGACATTTACATCCACTTTTTTCCATGTAGACTATAGTCGATTAAAGGCGAATAACCAATCGGTTATATTGACAGATGAACAATGCATTTACCGTCATTTATCACCGATTGGTTGACAAATGACGTTTGCTTCATTGGTTATCTGTCAACTATGACCGACCGGTTAATCGCCTTTAATCGATGTATGTAAACTATGTAGACAATGTAAACAACAGAAAATTTGAAATTTTAGTAATTTTTTTGAAAGTTTGCATTGCATTAAAATTATATTGTATCAAATTAGACATTATCTGCAGTTTAATTAACTTTACAAAGCAAAAACAGAAATATAACCTTACAGGCCTGCCAACTGTCAAAAATTGTATACTTTACGCGTTGTCTACATATTTCACCCGTTTTCTACATAGATTACATAGTTTACATTGTTTACGCCTTGTTTACACCAGACGTAGACAATCTTTGTTTACGCGTAGATGCCCATCTCTGGTTATGACTTTTTCACATAGGTAACCATTTTTCTGGTATTTGAGTTATGTTATGAGACTCATAACAGAACAGTGGTGTGATACAACTATTTTTGGTGATTTGACATACCTATGTCAAAGTTAAACCCGTAAAGGTGAATGAAGGTAGGCATCGACTAATAAATGAAAATGATTGAAAAAACATTCCTATTTTTCATTTTGTAGATAAGACGTTATACATCATACGTACGTTTAAACTATGACTACAAAACTCGTGTGATTAGAATAACGAGGTCGTAGACTTTCACACTTGTTATTGTAATCATGTTCATAAACGCTATCGTGATGTAAATAACTATTAAAGTGAACTATATAGTGTTTAGTGAGCTTTTATGATCACAGTATGTATGTAGCACTTATACGTATTAGGCCTTTTCACCTACTTAGGGTTCGTTTTGTACCTGTTGCCCAGGTATTTTATTGGTAGATAAATACTCCAAGTAGCTCGGTTTTAACTACGAACCATTAAAGGAAATCGGAATAAATTAAAATTTATCAAATTAAACTCTGAAATAGGTAGAAATAACACACATTTCTATGGAGGCAATGTTTGTTTACATTTCTGCCCACGTCGCCATCTTGAATTATCGGCTGATTCGAATCGCCTAATATAAGAGTCAATAAGGTAAAAAGATATAGGTAACGGTCGCATGGCTACATCTCTATTTGCCTTAATTTTATGGATTGGCGCGCCCGTTCCAGGTACTGCAATCCTTTGAGGTCTGCGGGTGACGTCACCACTATCACGTGCTGATAGTGGAGACGTCACCCGCAGATTAGCTACCGCCTCGAGAATTGGCGAACGTACGCCTTGCCTTATTATGTTGAGCAATTCCTCTTGGTGGTTTTCTTGATTAGGGTCCTTATTCTTGGAACAGGGGAGCAGCGTTTCCAAACATTGAACTAAACAAACACTAGGGAACAGGCGCACTGCTTTATACTAGTGTGCCGAACTTTGATATATGTAACCCAACAATACAGAGGGATTGTTGTCTGGCTCGCACTCATTGCGATTAACGTAAAAGAAAGAAGAGCTTTTTCATCTTCCTATATAACCTCAATGATCTAAACACTTCAAACAGCTGGGTACCGATTCTCAATCGGCAAGTCGATACGTAACGTCCCGACTCCCTGTAGAAAGGCAATGGGAAGTCGGTGTCGATAGGTTGCGACTAGAGGTTGAGAATCGGGGGGCTGTTCTCAATAGCCGCCATAGTGCAGAGAGAGATGCAAATCCCTCTTGTTTGTTGTCCTTCCTGGCACAAACCCTTGCGTAGAAACATTATGCCACCGTTCCAGTGTGTTTGTTTAGTTCATTGTTTCCAAAAGGACGAATGTTCCGTCTTTATTTCTTATATTATCATTTGCATTTCATTGAGAGATGAGAGAGACGGAACACTCGCAGTGTTGCCAACAGTATTTTTTTAATTCCGTCAACTTTGCTGTAGATTTCCGTCAAAAATTCGTTAAACCATTTTCTTTTCCGTCAATAAAATCCGTCAGAATGAAAAATGCGAAATGCGCTAAACAAATAAAATGTATTCAGTGGGGCCAACCAAATCATGCAGAGCGACAATTGACCACAATGCCATTTGATTTTAGACGTTTTTAGAAACACTGATCCGATTCACCCGTTCATCGGCTGTTTCTATTTTATCCTTTTCCAATAAAACCATTGAAAAAAGATAGATAACATCAGCTGATGATCGGGCTAGTCGGATCAACGTTTCCGTAAAGGCTTGTTTACAGACCAAAAGTAGCTTGAATCGTTAAACAACCAGTTTATTACATTTATAGAACATAATTTGGAATTTTCAAACGGAAAGTTCCGTTAAAATATCCGTCACCCGTTCAAACTGTTTTTTTTTTCCGCTTCCCTTCACCAAAATCCGTTAGATATAACGGAAAATCCGCTAAGTTGGCAACGCTGAACACTCGTTCTTCTGGAAACGCTGCTTCCCTGTTTCAAGAATAAGGACCCAGAAGGTAGGGATGTTCAACCGGCAAAAAATAACCTTTTTTCGGTTAACGGGTTATATTTCACTAAAAAATAACCGGCCCGATTAACCGAATCAAAATAAACCGGTTATCCGGTTAATCGATTTTTTAAAATTACTGATTTTATAGTGAATGCGCTAAGGTTAAATAAAAAAAATCCTTGTAAATAGAAAATAGTTTGATAAAACTTGGTACTACTATATGATGCGACAGAGACGGAGCTTCATTTTGACCAACGCTGTTTGAGAGAGAGTTGCCTGGTCTGATAACTCTATGACGTCAGCTGGGGTACCTCAATATAATGCAAATCTCCATGAGGCACCCCAGATGCGTCTTCAAGCTACCCATTACCAGACAACCTATCAACTTGATCCTTGCATTTTGACGATTTTGACTTGACAGTTGTCAACGCGTTCGTTTTTTTATTCGGAATAATACAATTACGTCAACACTTTTCTATTTTTATCTAATTTTAACAGTTTGAAAAAGATTTTCCTGTATTCAATATCAAAACTCAGATTTCTGAAAAAAAAAACCTGCTTCCGGTTATGACGTTTTTGACTGAATAACCGGTTGATTACTGCTAGTGAAATAACCGGTTATAACCGATTAAAGTGAAGTGAATATACCGGTGATTCAAATAACCGGTTATTTTTGGACATCTCTACCAGAAGGCATCAAATGGGATCTATGCCCTACATCATTTTAGTTTTAAGAAATCACAACAGTCAGTTTGGCAATGTCGCATTGTCTAATGTCTGCTGATCTTATTAGGCAATTCAAACCACGTGACATTCAAGATGGCGTCGCGGCCACAGATGGGCCAAAAAATACAAAAAAATATATAATTTCTGCCCAATTCAATAGTTTAGATACCTAGTCAACAAATATTTTATTAAATAATCAAAATCAAAGTTGCAAGCAAAACTCTAAGCAAAATAATTTAAAATACGCATAAAAACATATTCAAAACAAACTTGCATGGCCGCCACGCCATATTGAATTTTCCTTTTTGACAGATGGATTGAATTGCCTAATAGAAGCTGCTGATAAATATGTAACCTCTAATTTCACAGTTGTGGTTTGTTTTTAGTTCTGGAACCGTGTTTCGAGCTGGGAATATAAAAGTTCTCATAAGCAACAAACCTGAAGTATAAAGTATCATAACTGCGAAATTCGCATTTTTTTGACATTGCTTCGACAATTTGACGTTTGATACACGCATAAAACGTCAAATTGTCAACGCAATGTCAAAAAAATGCGAATTTCGCAGTTATGAGTACTAGGCTTAACAAAGCCATTTGTTAATCAAAGCCCAACGCAAAAGAGAACACTCTAAAACTAAAACAAACAGGATCTTATCGTTTCGAGCGCGCTCAAAGTTTACAGAGTGTAAAGCCGAACTCAGCCAATCAAACACACTCCTAGTCCAAGGTTCCTAAAGTTAATAGGTTGTCTGGTAATGGGTAACTTGACGAGGCATCTGGGATGCCCTATGGAGATTTGCATTATGTTTAGGCATACAGATGACGTCATAAAAGTTATCAGGCAACCTACCTCTCTCAAACAACCTTGCTCCTAGTCCTGGAAATTCAAGGATAATACATACTTCTACTACAGGATAGCCTATCCTCATAAGGCCTGTGTAGAACAAATCTGAAGCCACCACGTCAAATCACCAGTTGTGAAGCAGGCAGCACAGGGCCGTAGCCAGGGGGGGGGCATTGGGGGGCAATGCCCTATCTTTTAAATGGTAATGCCCTACCTTTAAAAATCAACATACCTACATTAAGGTTTCTTTAGAAAATTTAGGAGTAGATGATGTCTGAAGTAGATAGGCCTGAAATCGAGTAAGTGAGGATGAAAGTTTCCGAAAATGCCTAAATCTAATGAACAATGGTTGACTTTTGCACAGAGGAAGTTTTTTTTTTTTGTTTTGAAAGAGTGCGAATGGCCCAGGCGGCCGGCGCGAAAATCCGCGCCATTTTGTTCACTTGCCAGAGATGTTATTTATTGCAAAGTTGTTTGATAAAGGCGAGAGAAATAGGATGCCTGGTAACTTTATGACGTCATCTGGGGTGCCTCAACATAATGCAAATCTCTATAAGGTATCCCAAATCAGATGCGTCATCAAGTTACCCATTACCATACTTTACCATACATTATACATACCTTGATGCGTCATCAACTTACCAATTACCATACAACCTAAACCTTGATTTATTGAAAACTTTTGTTTACCTATACAAAATTTAGGGGGGTGGGGGCAGGGATGTGCGTCTACACGTAGACTTTCATTGTCTACTTTACGTGTAGATAATGTAGACAATGTAGACAACGTGTCAACAATGTAAAATAATATAAATGACGTTTAATTCTAACCTCACACTTTCCTTTTTTTTTAATTATTTTTATTTTATTATTGGTTTTTCTGATACTTTATAATCAGTGAATGCTAATATCGAAGTAATAGTGATAGTATAGTAACTTTTGATATTTTTTTTCGATTTTTTAAAAATAAGTTATTGTTTACGCCGCATGTAGATAATGTGTAGACAAATGCTCACGTAGACAATTCGAATTGTCTACGCGTAGACAATCAATTGTTTACGTTGACATTGTCTACAGGCACATCACTGGGTGGGGGGGGGGGGGGGGGGGGGGGCAAGTAGTGTATGCCCTATGTCGAATTTGTCATGCCCTATCTTAAATTTGACTCTAGTTACGGCCCTGAGGCAGCATGTTCTTTCTCGCCTTGACGTAAGCTGTTTGCACCTCAGGTTAGGAATCTACGAGCTTTTGCTTTATGCATACTTGGTTTTACTACTTTAATTACCATTTTAAAACAACTGTTTTTGAGATCTCGTTTGCCTTTTCATATTTGTCTTTTATGTTAGTCAAAATTAAACGACATTTTTCATTATAAATTGAAATTCTAAATTACGACCGCTGGCGCAAATAGCTGACGTCGCGGACGAAAATGAGGCCGATAAGCAATCCTTAGTAGTGTGTATTATCCTTGCTGAAAATCAACATAAAATTAGGTTATGTTAGACAGCATGTTGGGACGTTGGGTGGATTTTCATGCATCCGTTTGTCCGACGAAATATGTCCGAAAAATCTTCTATTTGTGATCTTCTATTTTGACATATTTTTATACGATTATGTCAGAATAGAATGTTTAACGGAAATCTCCATTATGAATTTATAAAAAGCTTTATGATCGGTCATCGGTCTGCGGCGTAGCGTCGTTTTTGTTACACTAAATACGCGAAAATACCTAGCATTTTCAGATGTTGTTTTTTTGAAGGCTTAAAATAAACGTTCTTGTGCGTGGCACTCGAAAAAAATTTCTTCCTCCGCTGCGGCGGGCTTTGCTCCCTCCCCCCACGAAAAAATATACCTACGACGCTATTTTTTTTTTTTTTAGGCTGCTTGAAATAGAAATCACAGGCCGCCACTAATAACCCCCTTCCCGAGCCCCTTCCCTTTACCACCAAATCAATTTCTAGGCCGGCAATTCTTATTTTTGCCCAGGATGGCCGAAAGGCTAGAGCGGGCCCTGGGTTTGTGCCAGGAAGGACAACAAACAAGAAAGATTTGCATCTCTCTCTGCACTATGGCGGCCATTAAAAACAGCTGTTTGAAGTGTTTATATCATTGAGGTTAGGAAGATGAAGAAGCTCTTCTTTCTTTTACGTTAATCGCAATGAGTGCGAGCGAGACAACAATCCCTCTGTATTGCTGGGTTGCATATATCAAAATTCGGCACACTAGCATAAAGCAGTAGTGCGCCCGTTCCAGAATGTTTGTTTAGTTCAATGCCCGATTTATACGAACAAGGTGCAAAGAACCATTGTCGTCATTGTCACTCTTCAGAGCCTAAACAAAGAAAGCAACAAAGATGTGCGTCAGAGCCATAGTGAACGATTCTTATTGGTGGTTTGAGAAGTCTACGTCATACACTGGCGCCATTCCAGTAAGTTTAAATATGTGGTATAAAAACAGTATTTCTCAAAAATGATTCATATACTTGATTGAAAATAATGAAGCGATAAAATTCAAAAGTGAAACTTGAAACTCCGCATGTTAATGTTGTTGTTGGGTTGGAGTTGGTTGGTTTTGATGACTCATTGCGACTGTTGAACTTTCAATATCCACAATATTCCAGGAAATATAAATATGTATATCATTTATAAACTTTCATTTTGGCTTTTTTAGCTGTCTCCACTTAAGTCTTACATTGGTCTTATCTTATCACCAAAACCTCAATCTTCTTCTCATGTACTACTAGCGCTATCATTAAAAGAACCGCATCACATATCAGATTCATCAATTCAACCTATAGTTCGAACAACGACAAACGAAACAGAACAAACAAGTAAGTCACATCTTCTACAATTCCTGATTTAGGTTGGTTAAATTATGGCTTCATTATAGTTCAATCACAGTCATCTCTTTTCTCGATGCTAAGATAGAGTAATGACTATTTCAAGAATAAATGCTGATTTATTTAAACAATTTCCGCTAAAGTCCCAAAAAGTCATATTTCATAGACGATGTACCGTTTGACAACATTAATCTATATAAGATCTAAGACAATGGGCTTATAAATTACCGTGGAGCTCTAGTTTAAAATGGAAGCAGCAAACAAAATCTTAAACGTTCGAGTAATTAGCACGGTACCGTCAAAAATTTATTTATTATTCCATTGTTTGTGTGTTTGCGCTTTATGTTGAAAGAATGAGAGGAACTATCGAAGTGTTTGGAAAAGTCATTTTTGGCTTAGGAAGTACTTATATAGGTACTTTCCCATGCGCACAGATGTTGAAAAATGATAAATCAAAAAAAATAATTCTCTGAAATAGAAAATTGCCTCTATGCACATAACTTTTCAATTCATCTTGCGTGTAAGTTTTTTCTAATCGAACGAATTACAGCAATTACACTCAATCTTTGCCATTGCCACTGCGAGCTTATTAAAGACAGGATACGCTTCTAGTTGAATTATAGATAGCCGAGTCAGGTGCAAAAATAATTACTCACTTGTAACCGTACTGCAAATTATCCCCGCATCCACCCCAAACCCATGCCTTTTTCAAATCCTTGGGTCGATCGGTGCGGGAACATCCGCACGAGGCCAGCTGACCGTCCCTGCAAGCCCTCGAGATCGAATGCGACACTCCTGCGGCTGCCAAGGCGTGCGCGAAAGCCGTTTCCCGACTAGCTGAAACAAACAGTTTGTGTCATAAAACGGGATTTCACCCTTTAAATTTCCACCCCCGGATTGTTTGGACGTCGCAACCGCGCAACAAATTACAGGATTTAAAGCGGTCATATTTTAGTATTAGGCCGGGTTGGCATTGAAATGTTTTAAGCCTTTGTACAAACTATGTGGGGATTATAGTTATTTGAATTATGCATCTATAGGCAAAAAAAAGGGTGGTTTTTAAAGTTAATAATCGAAGAAGGTGATCATAAATACTGTTATATGATACATAAACGTACTTTTATTTGTTTTTGTCATTACTATTATCTTACTATAAGATGAGCAAAATTGAAATTGAGAAGGTGTATTCCACAAAACGTAGACGTGACGTCACAACCGCGTAAAACCCAACAGATTCTGCTTTTGTTTATCTTGGTTCAAAACCAAAAGTCATGTTCCACCTATTTGAGTCAACTCGTATCTAAGTGAGAGTTGCAGGATTTTATTAGAGTCTGAGTCCACGATACCGAGCGGTTGTGACGCCACGCGCCGCTCCCACTGTTGTTTTGCGAAGATCTCGTAAACCGTTAGGCATAAAATGGTGCGGCTTGAAATATTGTTCTTCAGACCGCATATGTGCATGGAGAAGCAGAAATCAGCCTGAGATTAGGAAATATCAAGATCTGTCACAAAGTGCTGATTGTTGATATAGAGGATGAGTTATTTTGGGTATGGACTCAATCAGTCAACATGGTTTTGCATTCGACAACTAGCTCAACATCCTGAAATTTGGCACTGAGTATGTACTGTTACTCCAAACCCAAGGGATCAAAGTCCGTCTCGGTAAAAGCTACACGAAATGTGGAAATAAAAGGCAACACTGAACAAATTACATGTGGACAGTTGGAGAATGATTCTGGGAGCTGCGTTGGACTTATACCAAGGTTCTTTGGAAGAGGTAGATTGCCTGATAACTTTTATGACGTCATCTGGGTTGCCTAAACATAATGCAAATCTCCATTAGGCACCCCAAGATGACGTCATCTATTTCCCATTATGAGACAACCTATTAACTTTAGGAACCTTGTACTTTACAACCACATCAAATTAACAATAATTTGGATTATTATTGATCAAAAAGAACGATGTTCCTCGGTTTCGAGAATAAAGTCCCAGAAGGCTCAACAGTTCCTTTGTGAAAACAAGGATATCTTTAAAGGTAAAAATGGCGAACCTTGTAAAACGTGTGACGCAGTTGACAGACCTGTAGTTCAGCCTTGCCTTGCATGTCGGTTAAAAAACAGCTCGAGTTAAAACACAGGAATAGCTAAGTATAGTATCCGCCAAAATAAACAGTACTGAACACATAAATTATATCATTTATTAATTTGTATCATGCGTACATGTTCAAAAAATGCATCATAGTGACGCAAAAAAGCTTCATAACGATTCTGCAAATCATTGAAAATATTTATCAAGAGTGGTTGCTGAAATTTTTCTGAGACTTGTTCCAGACTTGAGCCTTTCTTCCTTCCAAATCCGTATGACCGGAAATGGTGCTCTACTAAGAAAACTGTTTCTTAAGTTGGAAGATACATAATGACGAAGATTTTAACCTTAACTTAATGTCAACCTCATAACTAATGCCAAGTAAGCGAAATATGATAAATGCAACTTGCCTGCGCAAATACTCAGCGCTCTAGATTTCGGTACTGTTTATTTTGGCGGATACCGTATTTTATTTATATCCCGTTACGGTATAAAATATGATGTCAGGTTAAAAAAGTACCTACTTTGGGTGCTTGTTCGTAGTTGCGAGTCAGTGACAAGTTCACTAGTGAACAGTTGTTTGTGAGAAAGTAACATAACCTAGAAACATGGAGTATGGAGAGTTTATTTCGGCCCCCGGAGCCCCTTGTTACTGATAATTGGAAAAGTTAAGTCAAAAATTTGATGTGTTCTTGACGGCGTCTGGACTGGAAAAAAAAACCAGAGGAAACTAAGGTGGCCGTTTTCCTAAGTCTCGTAGGAAATGATGGGCTCGAGTTGTTTGAATAGTTTCACATTTACTGAGCAGGAAGTAAAATCGCTGGACAGTATGAAGAAAAAATGTCAAGAATATGTACTGCTCCCCTCAGGAGAAAGTGATCTTTGATCTTCAGACCGTGTGGTCATGGGTCATGGGTATTTATAATAAGAATACCTAAGAAAGGTTGCTGAGAGGAGAGGCAAAGCTAACTTTATCCAGAGCAATTGATTTCTGCAGAGCCACTGAGGTCAACAAAACACAGACTAAGATTTTGCAGAGTGAATCACAGGTTAATGACACATACCAAATATAAAATGCCTGGCATATGGGAAGACATGTGCAGCTTATTGCCAAGGAAGAAAACATTTTGCAGTGATACGTCCTGGTGACAGTCATAGAGAAAGCCTATCCAGGAGCTGGGGAAAGAGCAGAGAACTGAAGGAGGAAGTAGTGAAAGTGAGTCTCTCTACGTGAACTCACTATGTCGAGCTATTTCTGTGAAGTCGCAAAAAATTAATAAGGTGATCAGTGATTGTAACAGCAGAAACAATTAAACTGAGATGGAGAGTGAGTGGAGACAAGTTGTGCAGATTGAAAACAAAAACCAGGCAGAATTTAAGCTTGACACTGAGACTGGGGTAAGTGTTTTGCTTATACCTATTCTCAGAGAGTTAAAAGATAGTTCTCTTTTAAAACTAACCAAAGTACCTAATGCTTGTGTCATATGGTTGTGGCGGTCTTAGAATAAAACTTCGGGGTGAAGATAGTTTGTCTTGTGAAGTCAACAACTGTAAAGCAATTCTTGATTTTTTAGTGATTGATCGACTCCACTGGCCAACTACCAACTACCTTTGCTTGGGTTATCTGCTTGTTTAAAGTTAATACTAATTGAAAGACTAGCTGGTATTGGACTCAATGGGTGGTATGAATAAAAACGAAGTATCTGCTACTACTACAAGTATTATTAGATTCTCCGTAGTATTTACTTGAAAACGAAGTAGCTACTACATTTTGAAACCAGCGAAAATTAGTAAATGCTTCTTTTTGAAGTAAATACTGCGTAGCATATACTAATACTTGTAGTAGTAGCAAGTACTTCGTTTTTATTCATACCACCCAATGTCAATTTAAAGTCTCTCGAAGATGTAAAGAAAATGTATGCTAGTGTTTTTGATGGTTTAGGCCAGTCTCCAAATGAGCATCATATTTCTTTGGAAAAAGATGTCGTTTCACATAATCAGCTTCCCAGGAGAGTTCCTAGAACATTGCATGATAGATTGAAATTGCAACTAGAGCAACTTGAAGTTCAAGGTGTAACTGAAAAAAATAATTGAAGAACCAACTGAGTGGCTGGTGGCTGAATCCTTTAGTCATCATAGTGGTGAAAGAAAAGTAATGGAGACGAGGGTGTGCCTAGACCACAAGTATTTGAATGAGGCAATTCAGCGTTGTTGATGCAATGATTTCGTGTTAACTTTTTTGTGGGTCAAATTTGACACGCATAGAGGCATACATTTTGACTTTCATATATCGCTGAAGGCATAGAAACGCATCGCGCGCCTCCTAGGAATACCTAGCGAAAAAGGTAGAACAGTACTGACAGTACGCTACCATCGATACAAAAGATTTGGAGTTTTTCGTCCATTTTTCGCCGTTTTACAATTGATCGTGTGTTTAAGCCTTCAAGGGGCGCCCCAAAGTTACAAGACCACAGAATTCAAATTGGGTAAGCGACAAACAACCTTTTTGCACGACCTCACTTCATCTCTTATTTTTTTCGTGTAATAAAGACGCAATATTCGCTATACAGTTCACTAATAATTCAACCGTATTAATTGCATCCTCAGCGTGAATATTTTTTAAATCAAGGATTGTTAAATTAGCAACATGACTCGCCTCGGTCTTATTTAGTTCAAAACCAATTTGGTGACAGACTAAGACGTAACCGTGTTGATTTGAGGCCTTTTCTATAAATAAATATATACACACTTCACACTTCTTCTGAAAGGTTCGGCATACCGGATATGACAAAACACGCTGATGATAGCAATGTTTCTCCTAGAATTAGTCTAGAAAAAAGGCTTGTAGATCTTGGCTTGTAGATCTTGATGTAAAACCGAATTTTCAGGCTAGGTCTGATCTTAAAATCTGATAGGGTTATAAGGCCTCCTAAAAAATTAAATTTATGAGACAGGCTGTGATGGCAAGCAACTGGTAATACACATATGCCATTGACAAGACGCTAGCAGTTGACAGACCTGTAGCTCAGCCTTGACCTGCATGTTGATTAATGAACAGCTTGAGTTGAAACACACGAATAGTTATTTTATTTATATTCCCTGACCGTATAAAACAAACATCATCAAGCATGAAATCTATACTGGCAGTACTCATCCGATCTGTCAACCCATGACCAAACAACAAGAAGTGCAGTCATTAGACATTATGCTTGCAGAGGGAGTTGTTGAAGATTCTTCAAGTCCGTGGATCTTCTAGATTTTGCGTAGAATACAGAAAGCTCAACGATGTCACTAAGAAAGACAATTACCCAGCATTGACTTACGACATTAAGGGCAAACTCAGACTGGTTTGATACTGGCAAGTGGACATTGACGAAAAAGACAAAGAGCAAATAGCCTTCTCTTCTTCTCGATTGGAAATGGTCTTTACCAATCTAAGGTAATTCCTTTTGGATTCTGTAATGTCCCCGCTACTTTTCAGAGGTTGATGGAAATCGCACTATGAGGACTTATGTGGAAAGTATGCCTTGTCTACCTGGCTGATGTGTTAGTGACGAGAAACTATCGATGAGCACCTGCGAAACTTACAGTACTTGTAGCAATAGTTAGAGCAGTTAACAATTTCCACAAAAACTTGTATGGGCAAGACTTTCTCATTAGAATATACCCATAGAATAGACAGCTGAAATGGCTTCTAAACATGTAATAACCAGAACGCAGGTAGAAAGATGCCTGGAGAAGTTACAGCACTACAATTCTCAAACCAGACACCGTCCTGGTGAACTGCAAAATAACGATGCAAGCACTGTCTCAGAGTCGATCATAGCGTGAAGGTGTTCCTATTAGAAGCCTCCTATTTGAAACGGATCAAGAATGGAGTTACGGACAGCCAAGAAGTGACATCAAGCCATTTTTGAATCAAAAGGAATCCGGAAAATCCAGACCAACCTGGCACTCAGCCTAAAAGCCTAACTTTCAAGGCGCTGTGTGCTGTGTGTACCTACCCTATACAAGAACATATAAGCATAAGAAAAATTCAACGGTTTTATAGAACAAAATCAGGTAGAGTTTCAAAACTTCTAAATTTAAATAAGATGTTGCTGCAGCTTTCAGAATAGAACTGACTTTGAATATGATGGCCCCACAAAGTTTTCATAATCCTATACAACCGATCACCAAAAGATGCTTTCAAAATAATTTTGGACTTTTGGTAATATTCAAATTCATAATGAATTATCATACATAGAGAGAGTGCATGGTTGCACCTTAAAAAAAAAGCAAGCATTTCTCTAATAAGTGGGTACCAAACAGTAGAAAACGGTAAACGATTGAAAAATAAACACTCGCGACCATAATCGGCCGACAACAACAACAAGAAATGCCTTCTTCTTATAACAACAATGTCGACGGTGTGCTTTTCCTCATTTCTAGCCCGAGGCAGTCAAAATCCGAAGAATCGTATAAGTAGTGATTGCTAGAGGAGAATAAAAAAATACACCCAGCTTTCTATTATTTTAATAATATTTTCTCCATTTTAATCCAACCTTGATTCAAACACAAAAGGCCTGGGACAAAAACAAAAAAGACACTTCTCAAAGGACAGGACAAAAGCGGAATAATCGTATTACCAGGCGTTATGGAGTTTCGAAAAACCCCTTTAAACGATTTTATGCAAATTGCTCGCTGAAAATGGACATATATGAGGGGGCTTTAGAGCCACTTGGGAATATGTATGAGTTTGGTCAATTTTTTAGAATAAACTGAATAAAAATCATACAGGGGAAAAGTCAAAATTGAGCTCAACAATTTATTCGTATAGCAATTCTTCAGATTCAGATAGAAGAAGTAGGCAAAAAACTGTTTAATCTCAATTCTCATCTGTTTGTGATTTAGCACATACAGTTCTAATTCAGAAGCCTGCAAGATGTTTACTCAAACACGCACAAGCAAGAATCTCGGGCTTTATTAAACCATCCCGACCTAACCGCAATATAATTAAGATCAAAAGGCCGCCACACTACCTGCAGCAATCATGCAACAGTATAATTCGTAAATTACTAACCGAAAGGTGAATATGTATATCTATCTGGCTCAGGGTAATCTTGGAGATTTTCAAAACCGTAATTTTTACTTTCCCATAGGCCTTAGAGCATCGCAAAGGATTTGTAACGGTTTAGACCGAATTTAATGCTTTGAACGTGCACGAGATGAGTACTTACTTCAGAACTTAGGTACCTACTCGTAAAATTTATAAATTAGATCGGAAATTTATCGAATGACAGCGTATATCTAACAAGCATCAAAGTAGCGGAAAACGATTTTCTAGTTTTTCCTACTAGTTTCAGTACTTCTAGGTCAACAATAGTCACCGGGTCGTACCAAAGACTAAAAATGCTGCTTGGGTACCTACTCTATTTGGGAACTTTGGTTTGTAAGAGGTAGGTTTCAAAACATACCTATAGTAATAACCGGTCCGAAAACGTTGACGTCGTCCAATATGGAACAGTTCCATCGTCTGTTCTGGAACTGGTGCGTGCACTCGTTCAAGGATTGCTTGGCGCCCAAGGCTACCGCGTTCATGTGGTCGATGTAGAGCTGGCAAAGCTTCGTTTGGCCCGGGCTCAGGCCTGGCAAGGCTTTGCACGACGGCGGGCCTTGGTCGCTCTGCATCATTTCGTCGATGATCATACCCATACGACTAGAAAAAATAAATGAGAAATCGTATAAAATTACTCAAGCAGAATATTTTCACTGAATGTCTATCAAACTAGGGGTTTATGTGCATTAAATTCATTAACTCGATACCTACCCAAAATTGTTAAAGTTAAAGAATAATCCAAAAATTAAAAACATCCCTAATAAAGTCTCTAGTATAGTAATCTCTGTCTTCTATGACAAACACAAAATTGATGAACTTAAGGTAAATATACATTACACCAACGTATGCATAATTCTAATCACCGAAAAATGGTTAAATGATCGCATTCCGGATAGCCCAATCGTATACCAGTTTACATAATATTCCGCAAAGATAGAGGAGCAGAGGGAGGAGGCTGTGTGTTTTTGGAAAAAATTATATTGCAGGGCACAAAGTTCATGCAACAATCAACTAAAACCACCATAAAGGACCCATTGAATCCCTATGGCTTGCCTTAAGTAAGATAAAATTTCCTCTTATAGCATATATTTACAGACCTAAACAAAAACAGGTATAGAACATAACACAGAACTAGTACAAGTTATTGAAAAACCAATGTCACTATAAAACAACCGGTGTACATAATGGGAGACTTCAACTACTCCCCAATTAACTAGAAAACATTGGAAATACATCCGCACAAAAAGTGTAGTTAAGACCGAGGTTGAGACTTTCTGGATAGCCACAATAACCACCAGAGGTCACCAACATATACATTTTTCTACAAGGTTCCGGAAAAACCAAACATCTCTTCTAGACCGGCTTTTTGTAAATGAGAAGAAACTAATTTTTGATGTTCAAGAACATGCACCCCTTGGAAGAAGTGACCGCACATTGTAATAACTGCGAAAGCACAGTTTCAAATAATTGCACAGCCTACATATAAAATCTGCAATTAGAACTTTTGGAAGGCAGATTACACTACTGAAGTAAACCAAACCATTTAGCAACAACTTGTACAGGCTACCAACCCACATTCATTTGGAGAACTCTCTGAGGCTTTGGGAATTACAATCATCAAGCATATGCCATACACACCACAAAAAGTTAATGTCCAAAAACCATGGTTAGCTAAGGCAGTATTTAGAGAAATACAAGGGTTGGTTGGATTGTCTTTTGTGTCTCTAGTCGTTGCTCTAGTCATATTTATATCACCCTAAAGTAAGTTATGGAGATTTTTGTTTCATTTTGTGTTTTGCACAGCAATTTCAGAGTGTTTTTATTAAACTCAGCCCTACAGATATTAGATCAACACCTGTTCCAACACTTCTAGTTGAATCTCACTCCAGAACAGAAATCAACACCAGAAAAAGTAGAAATCGCCATTAAATCCCCAAGGGTGAACTCCAGCCCTGGACTTGATGAGATCCCTCCTATATTTCTTAAAAATTGTTTACACACTCTGAAGGGGCCTCTGGCAACACTTATAAATGACATAATATCCACAGGAGATTTTCCACAAACTTGGACAGTCAGCTTGACCAGCACCCTATGTAAATGTATGAAGAAAATAATTGCAAAGCTCATATTGTATCATCCTAACGGCCTAACAACATGGTTTTCTCCCCAAAAAATCTAATTCTACGAACCGCCTAACCATGTGGAAAAAGGCGGATGATGAGAATAATCCAATTGATGTAGTTTTCCTTGACTTTGAAAAAGCATTCGATAAGATACCAACTTATACTTATTATACAAGCTCTCATTTTGGAGTCAGAGGCGGTTTACTGCGACTTCTTGAGGTATTCCTCACTGGACGAACCTTGCAGGTTAGGACAGGAATATCACTCTCAGTTGAATATTCTGTACACAGCGGCGTACCACCACAAAGCTCAGTCTTGGGACGCTTGCATTTCTTGGCGTATTTGTGTGACTTATACCAAAAACTGAAAACCAAATATGAATCGTTTGCAGATGAAGCAAGCCTATCCTGCAATTCACTACTAGAGATTGCAGACCTCCATCAGGAAGACCTGTACACCATCAAAGAGTGGACAAGGTTTTTGGAAATGCCATTGAATATTGGATGACCTCAAGTGCACAGTTCTACATATTGGCCAAAATAACCCTGGACATGATTACCTCCTCCAAACGTCAATTAAAAAAGTTTTGTTTCACAAAGACCAAGGAATAACAATCACATGATACTTGAAATGGGAACAATGCATCACTAAAATGACAAAAAAAGTCAATTCACTAATCTACCTCATTCAAAAATCTATCTAAAGAAATGGTTCTTAAGCTCTACAAAGCTTATGTAAGACCAAACCTCGAATACGCTCATTCCATCTGGAACCCAACCCATATTACATGAAAGACATTGAACTGATTGAAAGAGTACAGCGCCGTATTACAAAGATATAACTCAAAGAGTTATCCTACAAGAGCCGCCTTTACCAACCAAAGCCAACTACATTAAAATACAAAAGAACGAAGAAAGACCTTATTGAAACATACAAAATATTGAATGGTCACTATGCATGTGAGATTAACTTCTTCCTCGCCACTAACACCACCAATACCAGAGGACATAACCAGAAATTTGAGAAGGAAAGATTTAACAAGTTACTAAGAAGAAATTCCTTGACAAACAGAGTGGTTTATCAGTAGAATAGACTAGTCATGAAACAATTAGTGCAACATCAGTAAATCAATTTAAAAACCATTTGGATCCAGAAATGAGGGGCTGACATAACTGCAAGGACAGAACAGAACATCGCTGACCGAAAAAGCGTCATAATTAGAAAAGGATGGCTGACGTCATAGGTACCTATCTGCAGAACATTCGATCGAGGAGGATAGTGAAAAAAACCTCGGCAATAGCGAACCCAGCAGGAATAATAAGCTTGGATGAAACTGAAGGACCGCTTCAGACAGCAAGCTAATGCTAAGGGGGCTTATCGACTTCGCAAATACAATGAGCTTTCTAAGATGAAACAACAAAATGCAGACTTCACAGCGGACAGAAAGAAATTCTTCAGGAATTTGGAAACAGGTCCAGAAAATCAAAGCGACTCAAAATCCACAGCCGACATAGACGCAACTACTGGTGTTCTATATGGTCAGAAGCAGTACACTACAACAGATAGTCGATAGTCCGAATGTGTAGCAAATGTTGAACAAAGTGCACCGGAGGTTGAAGAAATGTCTGTGTATCATATAACAGCAGAAGATATTTCCCAGGCTACCGGGAGAACCAGCAATTGGAAAGCGCTAGGACGGGATGGACTACACAACTTCTGGATCAAAAATCTAACAGCATGTTTTCCAATCCTCACTCACTGTTTCGCGGAAGTATTGGACGATCCATCGAAATTTCCCAAGTGCCTGACAGAGGGAAACACTTATATGCTTATCAAGAAGGGAGACCCCGCTGTACCGAACAACTACAAACCAATCACGTGCCTGTCGGTAATATAGAAACTCTTCACATCACTTCTTAACAAGCGAATATACGAACACTGCGCCACAAACAATATACTGGAGGAAGAGCAAAAGGGTTGCATCCAAGGATCAGCCGGATGCAAACATCAACTCCCTATAGATGCAGTGGTTATAAAACAAGTCCAGACTAGGAAGAGAAATCTCAATGTGTACTGCATTGAGTACCGCAAGACATTCGATTCGGTCCCTCATGACTGGCTCATGAAAGTACTGGAGACCTATAATATTTGTCCGAAAGTAAGAGCCAACACCCCATCATGAGCTAAAGAGTCTGGGGAGCCGACAGGCGGAGCTCCGGAGGATGCCGATCGATATTCCGCGTGTGGCTAAATTCACCAAAATGTTGCACCGATCCTAATAGGTTCGTTTAGCACTTATTACGAATTACGGAGCTCCGCCTGTCTGTTCCCTAGACTCTTGTCCCATGAGCCCTAGAGGACTGATATCCTTATCAACAACAATAACGCTGATAAAAATAGCCAGAGGTATTTTCCAATGAGACTCCTTATCGCCACTGTGGTTCTGCCTAGCTTTGAGACCCTATCTATGAGTCTCAATCACACAAACATTGGGTACAGACTGCAACATCAGGAACAGGCGGAAGTTATCCTATATTCTGTACATGGATGACCTGAAACTTTTCAAAGAGAACCAGACTGGATTACGCACTCTCTAATAAACTCCGTAAGGACCTTCAACGGGGACATTAGCATGTCGTTTAGACAAATGCGCTATCATCAACATGAAGAGGAGCGTCGTGGAAAGACAAGAAGACAAATTCCAGGATATCGAGAACTTGCAACCCGAAGAAACATACAATCAAACAAAGTGTCGACCACACGCACCTGAAGAATATGTTCTCCGAGAGGTACCTATAAGAAGAGGGTACTCAAGGTTCTGATCACCAAGCTCTCGGCTGAGGGCCGGATTCTCAATAGCAAGTCACCTCCGGGTTAAGCATAACTTCAGGGTGAACATTGCAACTGAACACATTTACCCTGGAATTGAAATCAACCCGGAGGTAACTCGCTATTGAGAAACCGACCCTAAGAACCAGATCACCGCTCTAAATACCTGGGCAGTTCCTATCTCGATTTACACCTTTGGTTTCATGAAATGGTCTGATGCTGACCTCAATGAATTCGATAGGCTAAACCAACGACTGATGATGAAATTTCGATGACACCAAATGCATCGATTAAGAGGTTCTATCTGCCTCGAGCAAGCGGTGGTCGGAAAATGGCGAACATCTACAAGTTATGCAGAGCTCAGGAGAAGAACATGCGGCAACTTTACAATTACTTGGATCCGAAGATACTCTGATGAGAATGGCAGCCCAATAAAACCGAGGGTATACACCGTTGAGCCTACAACACCGTGATTTCGAGTTCGGCAGGCTCTAGACAGGCAGATCAAGCCTCCTGGATAGAACAAGCCTTACATGGCAAGTTTTCAGTTTCCAAGAAGATAAGTCGACCTCTCATGATAGAGAGGTCGCAGGATTCCTTTACCCAGAAACAGAGGAATTTTTCATGGCCATCCAGGACAGAGTTATC